GGGTTAGAACCAGCGACCTTTCGGTTACTGGCACAACACTCTTAACCACTAAGCTACCTGCCGCCCCGTATCTATCTATATTCAAATGTTGTTTGGATAATTTAGCATTGCCAGTATGCCTCTGAATAGAAAATGACTAATGAAACACACTCAGCTGGTAAACACCCCAGCAACTATTGTGTCACTCTCACTCTTATCAGCATGCAAACCAATAAAAGTTTAACATGTTTGATCATGAAAGCCGATTACTATATCCTGGCTGAAAACACACTGTCTGCTCTAGATGTTTCTCTAGAATTTTCCTTGATTCTGTCTTAGCAGTTCAGTTTTGGGGCGGCACTGAGAGAGTCATCGATGTAGACAGGCACAGACATAGGCTGGTTTCTGAGCAGCTCTCATGGAAAGAGTACACTAGAATAGAAGAACAGAACTGAATCGAATAGGATCAAGGTTATTGACCTATTGTATAGGGAGTTGGTATTACCCTGAAAGACGAGCATTGACCATTAGCCTAATAACAATGTAATCCTAGACAGTGACACCCACCGTTCTCCATGAACTCTGTGATGATGTAGATGGGCTCCTGGGTTACCACGGCGAAGAGGCGCACCAGGCGAGGGTGCTGCAGCTCCTTCATCAGGTTGGCCTCGGCCAGGAAAGCAGCCATGGACATGGTGCCCACCTTCAGGTTCTTAATGGCCACCCGCCTGTGGTTGTTGTACAGACCTGCAGCATAGAGGAAGGCCATTGGTGAAACAGTAAATAAATATACAGTATGTAGTAATACTACTATCACACTACAGTGATATTCAGTAGTGTGTAGGCCTATGATAGAGTCACTTGAGGACATGCAAGTTCGCTATCGGTCACTCTCAACTAGCTGAGTTACAGTTGAATTCGGAAGTTTACATACACTTAGGTTGGAGTCATTAAAACTCGTTTTTCAACCACTCCGCAAATTTCTTGTTAAGAAACTATAGTTTTGGCAAGTCGGTTAGGACATCTACTTTGTGGATGACACAAGTAATTTTTCCAACAATTGTTTACAGACAGATTATTTCACTTATAATTCACTGTATCACAATTCCAGTGGATCAGAAGTTTACATACACTAAATTGACTGTGCCTTTAAACAGCTTGGAAAATTCCAGAAAATGATGTCATGGCTTTAGAAGCTTCTGATAGGCTAATTGACATCATTTGAGTCAATTGGAGGTGTACCTGTGGATGTATTTCAAGGCCTACCTTCAAACTCAGTGCCTCTTTGTTTGACATCATGGGAAAATCAAAAGAAATCAGCCAAGACCTCAGAAAAACAAGTGTAGACCTCCACAAGGCTGGTTCATCCTTGGGAGCAATTTCCAAACGCCTGAAGGTACCACGTTCATCTGTACAAACAATAGTATGCAAGTATAAACACCATGGGACCACGCAGCCATCATACCGCTCAGGAAGGAGACGAGTTCTGTCTCCTAGAGATTAACGTACTTTGGTGCGAAAAGTGCAAATCAATCCCAGAACAACAGCAAAGGACCTTGTGAAGATCTTGGAGGAAACAGGTACAAAAGTATCTATATCCACAGTAAAACAAGTCCTATATCGACATAACCTGAAAGGCTGCTCAGCAAGGAAGAAGCCACTGCTCCAATACCGCCATAAAAAAGCCAGACTACGGTTTGCAACTGCACATGGGGACCAAGATCGTACCTTTTGGAGAAATGTCCTCTGGTCTGATGAAACAAAAATAGAACTGTTTGGCCATAATGACCATCATTATGTTTGGAGGAAAAAGGGGGTAGCTTGCATGCCGAAGAACACCATCCCAACCGTGAAGCACGGGGGTGGCAGCATCATGCTGTGGGGGTGCTTTGCAGCAGGAGGGACTGGGGCACTTCACAAAATAGATGGCATCATGAGGGTGGAAAATGATGTGGATATATTGAAGCAACATCTCAAGACATCAGTCAGGAAGTTAAAGCTTGGTCGCAAATGGGTCATCCAAATGGACAATGACCCCAAACATACTTCCAAAGTTGTAGCAAAATGTCTTAAGCACAACAAAGTCAAGGTATTGGAGTGGCTATCACAAAGCCCTGACCTCAATAGAAATAGAAAATGTGTGGTCAGAACTGAAAAAGCGTGTGCGAGCAAGGAGGCCTACAAACCTGACTCAGTTACACCAGCTCTGTCAGGAGGAATGGGCCAAAATTCACCCAACTTATTGTGGGAAGCTTGTGGAAGGCTACCCGAAACGTTTGACCCAAGTTAAACAATTTAAAGGCAATGCTACCAAATACTAATTGAGTGTATGTAAACTTCTGACCCACTGGGAATGTGATGAAAGAAATAAAAGCTGAAATAAATCATTCTCTCTACTATTATTCTGACATTTCACATTCTTAAAATAAAGTGGTGATCCTAACTGACATAAGACAGGGAATTTTTACTAGGATTAAATGTCAGGAATTGTGAAACACAGAGTTTAAATGTACTAAGGTGTATGTAAACTTCTGACTTCAACTGTATATAGCCTATGCTGTAATGGTGAGAATTAACTTGGGTTGCTAAATTCAAGCATTATCTCTACCTTTTATCTAAAACAAACATGGTGATTCACTTTTTTTCCAATCTGACATGCATGGATAAACATTTCATGTGAAACAACCATCACCCCAATGATGTGGGTGTATTCAGTTGCTGCTGTTCGGATGAGGGAAGAAAAACAAATATGTTGCCAAGATCGCATGCAGGAGGAAGTTGTTAATACAAAGTTCCATGGCAGGCTATTTTGAGCTCTGATACAGGGGGTTGTTTTGAATGTCGCATTGTGTTCACACACATGAAGATGGACAATAGGGAAATCTCCCCCTCCAGCAGAAAACGAGTGTGGAGGGTTTAGAATACATTAAAAGTTATTCTCACCATCAAAACATTGGAGTTTCTTGTGTAATGTTTGATTTTAGGGTCACAATGGGAGGCGATGGTAAATATTGTGATATAGACACACATGTATGAACTAATATAGACATGTGAAGAGCTTCAGAGAGACTTAGCTGCAGACTCTGGTTTTTGACTACATCTTCAGCCTAGAACGCTCACTGGCTCTTGCGTAATGCAACTGATGCCTGACATCAATCCCAAGAGACCTTATACCAGCTCAAACAAGTCCTGCAGTCATGGCAGTATTTAAGAAATTACACACAATGCAGAACTAAAACTAAAGCTACTCTGGCAGACACAGAGAGAGACAGGCACAACGCCAGCTTCAGCAACTGGTTGCTTTATATCTAGGGCATCTATGTAAACCAACACACTCATTTGTAATCTGAAAATGTCCACCATTGGGTTTGTATATAGCCTGAGCAGTGTTGGAAAAAGTACCCAATTGTCATACTTGAGTAAAAGTAAAGATACCTTAATAGAAAATGACAAAAGTAAACCAGTAAAATACTACTTGAGTAAAAGTCTAAAAGTATTTAGTTTAAAATATACTTAAGTATCAAAAGTAAATGTAATTGCTAAAATATACTTAAGTATCAAAAGTCAAAGTAAAAGTATAAATCATTTCAAATTCCTTATATTAAGCAAACCAAACGGCACCATTTTCTTGTTTTTTAAATTTACGGAAGGCCAGGGGTACACTCCAACATTCCGACATCATTTACAAATGAAGCATGCGTGTTTAGTGACTCCGCCAGATCAGAGGCAGTAGGAATGACCAGGGATGTTCTGTTCATAAGTACGTGAATTTGACTATTTTCCTGTCCTGCTAAGCATTCAAAATGTAACGAGTGCTTTTGGGTGTCAAGGAAAATGTATGGAGTAAAAAGTACATTATTTCCTTCAGGAATGTAGTGAAGTAAAAGTTGTCAAAAATATAAATAGTAAATTACAGATACCCCAAAAAATGACTTAAGTAGTACTTTAAAGTATTTTTACTTAAGTACTTTACACCACTGAGCCTGAACCACAGCTGTACAGAGTTGACATGGAGGGGCAAGTATTCACAGGCAAGTGACCCTCTGTTCACGCTCACCTATCCACACCAAACACTCATTCACCCATAACTCCCCAACACATTCCAGACCTCTTCTCACACACTCCAGTGCCTCTCTCACTCTCTCACACCCACACACACCAAACACACGCATACACTTGCATGCACACACACATACATACTCACCCATCCAGACTTCCCCAAACTGCCCGGCCCCGAGCCTGCGCTCCATCTTGAGGGACTCTCGGGGTATCTCCCATTCGTCCTGCCACCAGGGTTTCTGGGGCACACGGGACTGGCAGGGCTTCATCAACCGGGTGCATAGGCCATCCGCCTTACCTGCAGACACATACAACACAGGCAGGGTCAAAGGTCAAACAACGGCACCTTATACAGTTCACATTTTAAAACAGATAAGGCGTATGTGCACTATGGATGGTATGATAATGTTTTTTGGTACCAAATCTATATGTATTGTTTGGCTGATGTATTGTGTTCTGACTGGAGGCATCGCTCCAGGAGTTCAGACAGGATGTGAGTCATAGCACGTACGTGAGTGATGCTGGACTAGCTCTTTCAGGGAGTTGAAGGATATCTTTGCGGTGATGTAGAAACCACCAGTATCCAAGTTGCGGATTCGGTAGTGCTTGACCGTGTCTCCCGTGTTCGGATCAAATTCCCTGACAGACAAGGAGAAGGAGCCTTTGGTGGTCTCACTCTCTCTGACCATGAAGGAGCCCTGTGTGTTCCCCGGAGCTAGCAGGAGCCTCATGGCATCGTTTCTGGAGAGGTTCTTGAAAAACCATCTGAAACACAAGAAACAGGCGTAGAACTTCAAACAAAACCACATCCCTTTCCCTTACTTAGCGGGTGGTGACTGTTGAGTATGGGGAGATGGTGTTGAGGTTGAGTCAGACGCTGTTGAATGATGTATGCGTGTTCTTCATACATGACTTAAAGTGAAATTAAATACAGTTATTTGAGTTTCTGAATTGACTTACGTCTCCATCTCCATGGAGTTCAGGGGGGCCACAAAGTTGTATGGGATGAAGCCCTTCTGGCCTGTGATGAGCGACTCTGCCATGAACCACTCCGGGTCATCCCTAGACAACACACACAACAACAACACTTACATGCAGTATAGCTGTTCTAACTAACACACACTATCTCACTATATCCTACTTTCCAAGCCCTGGCAATGTGTCATGCTCCGTCAAACAACTACACACCTTTGCACAACTACACAAATATACCACATCCTCTAAAAAGTAAATGGCATCATCACACATCCTCCCCTATTCTTACTTATTGAGGATCTTCAACTTATCCCCCTTCTCAAATCCCAGGTCATCACTGTGGTTTGGTTCATAGCTGTATATGGCAACCACCAGGCTATCTGCACAACACAAAACCAGCATGGGTTAGGAAAGGATAAACAGTAATGATCAGATTTGACCCACAAGAAGAAGGCACATATTTACCCACATATTAATGTATAAGAACGTACCTGGTAGAGGGGAAGAGGGAGGCGTGAGATGAGAGGGGTAGGGGATCAGTTGATCTGTGTACTGATGAGAGCAAAGCAGGTTAAGGTTCAGTAAAATAACCTAGGTTTCCACTTAAGAATTCAAAGGTTGTCATTCAGTGTACAAACAATATGGAAGTTGAAGTTGTTATTTGCATGAGAACAGTAAACAGAAAAATCTGGGGGGTTTACACTATCATGATGGGAAATTTGATTTATGGTAAAATCCAGATTCGTCATAACCAGATTAAGATTTAATTTAATTTAACAGGTTTAATGTAATGTTTACTTTGTGCCAACAAATTGGCCCACAACAACATGGCATTCACATGTGCTATTCTCCTGTATTTGTAATCTACAGTGCCTTCAGAAAGTATTCACACCGCTTGACTTTTTCCACGTTTTGTTGTGTTACAAAGTGGGATTAAAATTGATTTAATTGTCAGTTTTTTTGTCAACGATCTACACAAAATACTCTGTAATGTGAAAGTGGAAGAAAAATGTGAACATTTGTAAAGAATTAATGAAAAGTATAACAGTAATATATATTGATTAGATAAGTATTCAACCCCCTGAGTCAATACATGTTAGAATCACCTTTGGCAGTGATTACAGCTGTAAGTCTTTCTGGGCATCTCTCTAAGACCTTTCCACACCTGGATTGTGCAACATTTGCCCATTATTCTTTAAAAAATTCTTCATGGTCTGTCAAATTGGTTGTTCATCATTGCTAGACAACCATTTTCAGGTCTTGCCATAGATTTTCAAACAGATTTTAGTCAAAACTGTAACTCGGCCACTCAGGAATATTCACTGTCTTCTTGGTAAGCAACTCCAGTGTAGATTTGTCCTTGTGTTTTAGGTTATTTTCCTGCTGAACGGTGAATTAATCTCTCAGTGCCTGGAGGAAAGCATACTGAACCAGGTTTCCCTCAAGGATTTTGCCTGTGCTTATCCTGAAAAACTCCCCAGTACTTAACGATTACAAGCATACCTTTAACATGATGCAGCCACCACTATGCTTGAAAATATGGAGAGTGGTACTCAGTAATGTGTATTATTGGATTTGCCCCAAACATAACACTTTGTATTCAGGACAAAAAGTGAATTGCTTTGCCACATTCTTTGCAGTATTACCAAAAAAATCTCAATTTTATCTATTTTTAATTTGGGCTGTAACACAACAAAATGTGGAAAAGGGCAAGGGGTGTGAATACATTCTGAAGGCACTGTACCAATATATCTCCAGTAATTCAGAGGGAGGAAGGAAGTGAAATGAATTGCACACACAAAAGCCAACTTCCCCCCAAATTATGTACATTTCCAATTCCCAAGCACTGACATGCACAACACCCTTTCAGGTAGACCATGGTTGCATAAGTTATATTCATTGAAACCTCAATTAAATCCATATTGGAGATGTTTTTGTGTGAGACCATGTAAAAATATTACACCCTCTTCCTCACATTCCACTCCACTTCCCCAGCAACGTCCAGACGCTATGCCGCCGCCTACACACACTCACCAGTTTAGCCCACTGGGGGGGAATCGGGCAATTGCAGTGGTCACACACTTCGTCTAGGTTCTCTATCCAGTCATCATCATAATCAGAACTATAGTTGCATCCCATTTTACCTGAAACATAGTCAAGAGTTTACGTTAGTTTACATCACTACATAATAGAAGAGATTGATTAACAAAGTATGATAACATTTTTCGAGTACTTGAGTTAAACAATATAGTTGCTTAGTGCCTCATACTTAGACTTGGTTCCCAAGAGACTTAGTGAACTAGATAGCTGTAGCTTATTATCTTAAAAGGTAAAGAGCTGTTCAACCTCAGATCCCTTGGAATTTCAAATAAATCAAATGAAGTGTACATAAACAAACTCTTTAATAAGCAGAACTTTTTGCCCAGAACATGTATTTTATGTTAACATTCATGTTACCATCTAATATCCCTTAAGTCCCCAGCCCTGGACAAACAACACAGGATGTCCTGATATGACTAAATCAGCAGAGTGAGAAAATAAAGTAACAATCTTGGCCAGACCAAAAAGTGAAATGGATCAGGAAGTATTAAACATACATTCTTGTTTCTGTGTAGCTTCACATCAATACACAACAACCAGAGTGTATCAGGATTTTAAAAAATCCCCCATCGCAAATTCAAATACTACAACACATTGGCATGTCTGCCTTCAGTAAACTGTATATAGGCCTTGTCCAATAGCAGTGTGATGAGGATCTGCATGGGACTGAGAACTGATCCATAGACTGTGTAGTTTGCTGGGATACGACAGACAATAATATACACTATATTGTATATACAAAAGTATGTTGACATCCCTTCAAATTAGTGAAGGGGTGTCAGTGACTTTCAACGTGGCACCGTTATAGGATGCATAAGTGCTGTTATTGTGAAGTGGAAACATCTAGGCGCAACAACGGCTCAGCCGAGAAGTGGTAGACCAGACAATCTCACAGAACAGTATCGCTGTTCGTAAGAATAGTCGGTCCTCGGTGGCAACACTCACTACCGAGTTCCAAACTGCCTCTGGAAGCATTGTCAGCACAATAACTGTTCGTCGGGAGCTTCATGAAATGGGTTTTCATGGCCTGCACAGAGCCCTGACCTCAACCCCATCGAACACCTTTGGGATGAATTGGAACGCTGACTGCGAGCCAGGCCTAATCCCCCAACATCAGTGCCCGACTTCACTAATGCTCTTGTGGCTGAATGGAAGCAAGTCCCCACAGCAATGTTCCAACATCTAGTGGAAAACCTTCCCAGAAGAGTGGAGGCTGTTATAGCAGCAAAGGGGGGACCAACTCCATATTAATGCTCATGATTTTGGAATGACATGTTCGACAAGCAGGTGTCCACATACTTTTGGTCATGTAGTGTAATTCAATGAGACCTTTTTTGTTGAGACGCCAAATTACAAAAATTAAAAGCCTACATTTCATGTTATAATTATTTTACTTAATTTCATAATTAATCATAATTCGGATTCTTTGGTAGAAAATGAGATTATATGTAAAATCATACTAATCCAGTGTTAAACCATGCATGGATGGAACTCTCTACCCCTCAGCAGTACAGTATGCTCAGTATGCTTGCTCTACCCTCCTATCCCATTGGTTGGCTCATGTAACAGGGTCAATGGGCTAGTTGGAGTCGCCGCCTGTCCGAAGGGCACAAATCCGTGTGAAAATCTGACGGGCCGGGAAAAGCCTAACCCCGGTAGCGATAGTCCGCCCCTGCACTGGGACGCTCGGGGACGGGATGGAGGGGGACGAGAGGGATTGGGTGACATCTCTTCTGCTTCTGTCTGGCAGTCTCTTACAGAAAGTCATCTAAACAAAGTCAAAATTTTCCATTGAGGGGATTCCCCTCTTGCTTTAATCTTTTAATCATATTCAGCTGCTGATGGGCTGCCCTCCTTTCAAGGGCCAGGGCCAGATTGTTTGGGTGATTCACAGTGCGCTGGCTTTGGTTGGTTGGCTTTATTATCATTATGTTGTGCTGCATTTGTCGAGGCATTGTTTTTTATTCTGTCTGTTTCACCTCAGCTCTCTGCGATACTGTGTGGTGTGATGAAGGTCATACTGGAGGTTGGACAAGGGTCACACAGAGGTGGATACTGGACACACTGCTCTTTAGGCTACCTAGTGGAAATGACTAACCTGCATTGCTCTTCACAGAGCTGTATTCATGAATTACATCTACAAGTCCTTCCATAAGTACATCAACTGATCTGTCAGACTGCTATGAAAATAGTAGCCCTCCTATTGAGTGCTGTTGCTTTCATGAAATCATCAAATTTTTCCTATGCATGTTAGATACTCTATAGCTGTAATGATGTGCTATAAAGATGGATACTAAATCACAAAGTCCTTCTTGGTCACCACATCCCTCCCTGGCAAACAAAAACCCTAAACAATTGTGTGTCAACTTGTAATAAAAGCATAATAACCACAAGAATTGCATTCACCAAACTAGATGTTTTAACTTAAATTACCTGTTTTCCCCTTTTGTTTTGTATGGCCTTTTAAGCCAAGCCAAATTTTGTTTTTTCAGTACATTTAACATCTTCTTAAAATTGAATATAGCCTAAACATTTCTGACTCTGCTCAATTACTGTAGAAGACAATTGTATACATTGTTGTACAATCATCCTGATTAAAATTACGCGTTCAAAGGGAGAACACACCAATATAGATAGGTGCATTATATACCACATCAGGTTGAAGACGTACCTCATGAAACTTGCCCAATGTGCTCTTCAACAGGGTGTCAGCGATTTCACTGGTCTACAGCCAGAGCAGCTTTATCCATGATTTAGATATCTAGTCTTCATCAACTATTAATCCTATCAAAAACAGCAACTAAAAATATGACGCTACTTTTGGAGAGAACATAAGAAACTATAGGATGTTGAGTGAGGTTTTCAGGCAGGGAGTTTTGTATGTGAAGATCTCATCACTCACTCATGCAGTGCCATCCAAACGCACACTCGCACCCCACACACACACACACACGCAGACACACACAGACACACACACACAGACAGAAACACACATACACACACACGCACACACACCTCAGTGGAGAGATAACAGCCCAAAGGGCTTCCTGTCGTTGAAAGGTTGATGGTTGCTCTGCACTATCTCTGACAGGTGCTACCCATGCAGCTGTGTGTTACACAGGGAATATTGGGCTCCTCTGTAAATGGGTCAAGACAATACCTCTCTCCTAGTGTGTGATTACTTGTGAATGTTCTATAATAGTTATGACTGAAAACACGATGTATAAAGTACTATCTATCTAGATGTAATGTATATCAAAATATCAAATTACTTTATTCTTGCTATGTAACTACTGTAAAAAAATAAAAATTAAAAAGTGGCATGTATGTAAAATGTGTGTAGAATTTACATGTAACAACAAAAGAAAAAGCTGTAAAAACATTGGGTAGGATCTTGGTAAAGGAGAGTCTCAAGCAGTCTATAGACTCCATTTTGATTCAGATCTTCTGTGTATCGCAATGAGACCGTTATTATGGGAAAATCTGTGTCATCAACATTTAGTTGTAATTACCAAATGAGTCATTGTTCCCCAGTTCATCTCTCTGGTCTCACTTCTGTGTCTCTGTCAGGGAACGTTGTCAACGCTGCGGACCACGTAGTGGCAGGCTGCAGCTTTAGACTCTAGAGCATGTACAGAAGTCAGCCCAAACATGTACAGGAAGTGCACTGAAATATGTGCAACTGTGACTGCCACAGGTGATTCTCACATACCAAACCACTCAATTCAAGACATTTCCCATTAATAAGAAGCATGAGTGTGTCTCAGAAATTGTATTCTGTATCCAGGAAACAATGTTTTATAGTTTTACATTGTAGAAGGCACAGTGATGCTGAAACGTTGGTGTTTTACCCAATAAATGACTGGGAGTTTATATATAGAGAGTGCGACTCTCTTTATTTATTTTTATAGCTTACAGTTTATTCACTGTTAGTCAGCACCTCTACACAATATAGTTTTCTCTGGGTGTGCTCCAGTTCAGGCTTTTTAATTTACTTTGAAGTTCTAACATGACAATATGGTCTCTCCTTTGTTTGCGGTTTAACAAAAAGAGAGACAGACTTGTGGTCATATAGACACATCTTGTATGTTTTCAGAAGAGGAGAAGTATGTTATATCTAGCCTAGCTGTAGAAGAACGCACATCTGCACAGTTTCACATTGTACATCACTCTGTCCTTTAATGACATGTGCCACTCATTCTGACAACCCATTCATCTGTAAAGCAGCACACTGTCAGCACGTCGTACCATACATAACATTTCTCCCCCCTTTCCAAAATCAGGGACTGGGACCATATATAAAAATGTCCATAGTGCAAGAACCTAGAGTGATACCTGTAAGAAATAAACATTAACCCTTAAACGGAAGGACTCTCCAAACTAGCCAGTTCAGTCCATTAACCTGGAGGTTGACTAAGACACCTAACGGAGCCTAAGAATGAAAAGAGGTTAAGTAGTCCCCCAGATGAGCAGGGCGAGTTCGTGCCCGCATAGGCCTTTGTTCAACCGCCACCGCTTGTGGCTCTGGCCCTTGGGGAACCCACAGAGGCTGGGGCTCAGGTGGTAGTGGTGGAGGAGGTCCATCAGGTGGCGTCTCTGGCCTGTATGTTTGTTTTGTGGGCATTCGTATTCCTTGAGGGGCAGGGACTTTCCTGAGGCGGCTGGCGTGCCAGCGTGATCCATTGCTCATCATGAAGGTGGCAGGCCTCAGTTGTCGACTGACCTGCAAGGGGTCCGACCAGAATGAGGCCATTTTGTTGCACCGCTGAGGCCGTCGGGCTCAGACCCAGTCTGACACTTGGATGATTGACTTCTTCACCCTGTATGCCTTGTCGAAACGCTGTTTCATTGCTCTTTGGTGCCTGGTCACTGCCTGCTTTTCTTGGTTGCGCCTAGTCGCCGGTTCTGCTACTCTCTGTGTTCTGACTCTGTCCAGTGGCAGTTCCATCTCACGACCTAGCATGAGAGATGCCGGGGAGACCTGTGTTGTTGTGTGTTTGCTTGCTCTGTAGTGCATTAGCATTTGATTTAAAGCAGTT